TTCATTTTATTGAATTAATTTACAAATAAAGACCAAACTCTTTATTATCAGTTTCTTTCCGGTGACAGGGCCATTACATTGGTGAGTAACGCATACACTTGAAAAGCTTTCTGTTCCCCATAACAAAGAAACCTAGATTGTGTAAATGATTATGCATCCCTTTGCTCGGGGCCAGACGTTAGTGACTGTCCTAGGAGACAGAACCTCTGGTACAGCTGATTAACGCTGTACTTCTCTGTTTCTCTTTTATTAATAAATTCTTCAAAGACAGTTTACTCAATTATTTGCTCAATCCCTTACCAGGAATATAAATTTCCAAGACAGCATACAGTGTAAGAGCTGAAATAGTCTCTCTAGATTTTAGTAGTTCTAGACAAAAGATGAATGAATGAGTTTGAACATCTCAAGGTACAAGGTACAAAGTTGTTTATTAGTCATTATACAGCACAAGGCTGCATAACGAAACGAAATTTGTAGTTCCTTCGTGCTACACACACAACATATAATTAAGTGTAGGCCTATATTAAAATATGGCAACATATACAGTACAATAAAATAAAACAGTTATTTATATACATACACTTACACACCTTGAGCATTCCACAGTGCATTTTTTGAATGTGCATCTGGGGTGAATGTAAACAGCAGCAACCAGATGATAACATGAAAGTTTCATCTTCACAATAAACAGTGTGACATTTGGGAAACAGAGTCCATCCTGTGTGACTGCGTTTGTGCACCAAGCACCATCGATGTAAAACACAGAGTCCACCTCCTCTCATCTTGCCGGAGTCTTGCGCTGACAGCTCGGAACACGGACCACCTGCCGAGTACTTCATGCGGTTGTTGATGCGGCAGGTCTCTGTAACGATGTGGGCAAAACAGTCTCTGAATTCTGTTGCTTGGTCAACATGAGTCCCATATTGTCCATACCGGATCTTTAGGAGCAGAATTAAGTCCAAGCTGGAGCAGCATGGCTCCTCTCCTGGCTCTCTTTCCTCTCCTCTGAGCGATCACCGCACCCGCTGTGCCGCCTAGCTGTTCCGGTTGTTTGGGCCGGGTGGATCGTGGTCTGCTGTTCTTTAATCCAAAATTTTTTTTCCAATGACTTATGTCAGAGGTAACGCATGTTTTTGGCAATAAAGCCAGAAAAAAAAACAGATAAAAAACAAAAGTGTAGCAAAGTTTGAAGGAGCTACCGACTGCTGCTTCTACAAACGCTGCCGGTTGCCATAGCAACCTGCTTATATTACGAATGCAGCACAATCTCCCTCTCTATCCTCCCTCTTGTCCATCTTTATGTCTTTCTGTTGCTAAACATTGGAGACAAATTATCATTCCTCTCACTGGATGCACTCCAACACAAGCATATATTTAGTCTTTTCATTAACTGTTGTTTCCTCTGACTGGATCTCTCCTAAAGCTAATATGCTTATGCAGTAGATATCATTATCAATGGAAAGAAGTGGCATAATTTCACAGGACAGGATAATGTTTTTGCTTACCACACACACACACACACACACACACACACACACACACAAATATATTTATTTATATATGTATACAAGTTCACTATAATAGTATGTGGTCAATTTTCAATGCAAAGCAGGAAATCTGTTTTTTTTTAATGTAAATTCAATAAAATCTAATTTCCATGTTGATCTTTTGACTCTTTACCTGATTCAACATATTCTCTATTTTTACATCTCTGCTGAGGACCAGTTTTAAACAACACATAGCTGATTTAAGGTTTAACCTCAAAATTCATCATTATCCCACAAATCAACCACACCCTTGAACTGTGTGTCCACAAGGAAGATGGGACGTTCTGACTAAAAACATATTTTTTTTCATTTCCACAAGACCAAACATTTTATTTAAAGATTTTCTTTAACTGAGTCACCCACCTTTAGTAGCAAACACCTGCACCCTCTTTAAAGACACTGTCTCACACTTCAGAGTACTATCCACCCACCCTTCCACATGTCAGGGACTCAAAAGCCTTGACCTGTACTACTGGAGGCTTTCAGCTTTAAAAAAAAGAATTGCTGTTAAAGTATCCTATTTCGACAAACACCCCCACCGACTGTAGATCTAACTCACCCAAATACAAAACGCACATCTTTAACAGTTAAAACTTGTGTAAGTTAAATATTGAGATATACAAATGATTGTCCGAAAGACCAATAGAATTCATTTTATTGAATTAATTTACAAATAAAGACCAAACTCTTTATTATCAGTTTCTTTCCGGTGACAGGGCCATTACATTGGTGAGTAACGCATACACTTGAAAAGCTTTCTGTTCCCCATAACAAAGAAACCTAGATTGTGTAAATGATTATGCATCCCTTTGCTCGGGGCCAGACGTTAGTGACTGTCCTAGGAGACAGAACCTCTGGTACAGCTGATTAACGCTGTACTTCTCTGTTTCTCTTTTATTAATAAATTCTTCAAAGACAGTTTACTCAATTATTTGCTCAATCCCTTACCAGGAATATAAATTTCCAAGACAGCATACAGTGTAAGAGCTGAAATAGTCTCTCTAGATTTTAGTAGTTCTAGACAAAAGATGAATGAATGAGTTTGAACATCTCAAGGTACAAGGTACAAAGTTGTTTATTAGTCATTATACAGCACAAGGCTGCATAACGAAACGAAATTTGTAGTTCCTTCGTGCTACACACACAACATATAATTAAGTGTAGGCCTATATTAAAATATGGCAACATATACAGTACAATAAAATAAAACAGTTATTTATATACATACACTTACACACCTTGAGCATTCCACAGTGCATTTTTTGAATGTGCATCTGGGGTGAATGTAAACAGCAGCAACCAGATGATAACATGAAAGTTTCATCTTCACAATAAACAGTGTGACATTTGGGAAACAGAGTCCATCCTGTGTGACTGCGTTTGTGCACCAAGCACCATCGATGTAAAATACAGAGTCCACCTCCTCTCATCTTGCCGGAGTCTTGCGCTGACAGCTCGGAACACGGACCACCTGCCGAGTACTTCATGCGGTTGTTGATGCGGCAGGTCTCTGTAACGATGTGGGCAAAACAGTCTCTGAATTCTGTTGCTTGGTCAACATGAGTCCCATATTGTCCATACCGGATCTTTAGGAGCAGAATTAAGTCCAAGCTGGAGCAGCATGGCTCCTCTCCTGGCTCTCTTTCCTCTCCTCTGAGCGATCACCGCACCCGCTGTGCCGCCTAGCTGTTCCGGTTGTTTGGGCCGGGTGGATCGTGGTCTGCTGTTCTTTAATCCAAAATTTTTTTTCCAATGACTTATGTCAGAGGTAACGCATGTTTTTGGCAATAAAGCCAGAAAAAAAAACAGATAAAAAACAAAAGTGTAGCAAAGTTTGAAGGAGCTACCGACTGCTGCTTCTACAAACGCTGCCGGTTGCCATAGCAACCTGCTTATATTACGAATGCAGCACAATCTCCCTCTCTATCCTCCCTCTTGTCCATCTTTATGTCTTTCTGTTGCTAAACATTGGAGACAAATTATCATTCCTCTCACTGGATGCACTCCAACACAAGCATATATTTAGTCTTTTCATTAACTGTTGTTTCCTCTGACTGGATCTCTCCTAAAGCTAATATGCTTATGCAGTAGATATCATTATCAATGGAAAGAAGTGGCATAATTTCACAGGACAGGATAATGTTTTTGCTTACCACACACACACACACACACACACACACACACACACACACACACACAATATTTTATTTATATGTATACAAGTTCACTATAATAGTATGTGGTCAATTTTCAATGCAAAGCAGGAAATCTGTTTTTTTTTAATGTAAATTCAATAAAATCTAATTTCCATGTTGATCTTTTGACTCTTTACCTGATTCAACATATTCTCTATTTTTACATCTCTGCTGAGGACCAGTTTTAAACAACACATAGCTGATTTAAGGTTTAACCTCAAAATTCATCATTATCCCACAAATCAACCACACCCTTGAACTGTGTGTCCACAAGGAAGATGGGACGTTCTGACTAAAAACATATTTTTTTTCATTTCCACAAGACCAAACATTTTATTTAAAGATTTTCTTTAACTGAGTCACCCACCTTTAGTAGCAAACACCTGCACCCTCTTTAAAGACACTGTCTCACACTTCAGAGTACTATCCACCCACCCTTCCACATGTCAGGGACTCAAAAGCCTTGACCTGTACTACTGGAGGCTTTCAGCTTTAAAAAAAAGAATTGCTGTTAAAGTATCCTATTTCGACAAACACCCCCACCGACTGTAGATCTAACTCACCCAAATACAAAACGCACATCTTTAACAGTTAAAACTTGTGTAAGTTAAATATTGAGATATACAAATGATTGTCCGAAAGACCAATAGAATTCATTTTATTGAATTAATTTACAAATAAAGACCAAACTCTTTATTGTTAGTTTCTTTCCGGTGACAGGGCCATTACATTGGTGAGTAACGCATACACTTGAAAAGCTTTCTGTTCCCCATAACAAAGAAACCTAGATTGTGTAAATGATCATGCATCCCTTTGCTCGGGGCCAGACGTTAGTGACTGTCCTAGGAGACAGAACCTCTGGTACAGCTGATTAACGCTGTACTTCTCTGTTTCTCTTTTATTAATAAATTCTTCAAAGACAGTTTACTCAATTATTTGCTCAATCCCTTACCAGGAATATAAATTTCCAAGACAGCATACAGTGTAAGAGCTGAAATAGTCTCTCTAGATTTTAGTAGTTCTAGACAAAAGATGAATGAATGAGTTTGAACATCTCAAGGTACAAGGTACAAAGTTGTTTATTAGTCATTATACAGCACAAGGCTGCATAACGAAACGAAATTTGTAGTTCCTTCGTGCTACACACACAACATATAATTAAGTGTAGGCCTATATTAAAATATGGCAACATATACAGTACAATAAAATAAAACAGTTATTTATATACATACACTTACACACCTTGAGCATTCCACAGTGCATTTTTTGAATGTGCATCTGGGGTGAATGTAAACAGCAGCAACCAGATGATAACATGAAAGTTTCATCTTCACAATAAACAGTGTGACATTTGGGAAACAGAGTCCATCCTGTGTGACTGCGTTTGTGCACCAAGCACCATCGATGTAAAACACAGAGTCCACCTCCTCTCATCTTGCCGGAGTCTTGCGCTGACAGCTCGGAACACGGACCACCTGCCGAGTGCTTCATGCGGTTGTTGATGCGGCAGGTCTCTGTATTGCATTTTACTTAAAGATTTTCTTTAAGTGCTATCATCGTCATAGTTCTACACGCTCTGCTGTTATCTTGTGGCTTATCATCATCATCATCATCATGCTATTTCAGTGGTTAGACTTCCTGGAACGGTGAGCTTCTGCATTAACATTATGGTTGTTCAGTGTTTTGGTTTCTAGAAGCAAAAGCATAAAGGAGTGGATTCAGGCAGCTGTTCACAAATACCAGTGCTCCAGTGATGTTCCAGCTGTTTATACAAAACTTCAACAGGCCCTTGTTGTTGAGCAAAAAAGCTGCCACACCAAGCACATTTATGATATGATGTGGCATCCATAGGACAAAGGAGGTCACGATGATTCTTGCAACCAGCCGGGTCATCTGTGGGTTGTTGAAGAAAGCTGCCTGGTTCACTTTTCTGTGGAGGTGGATATATGAAAATGCAATGACAGAAAATGAAACTAATCCCACCAGGGACTCTATCAGCAGCATGGCTACATCCTGGTTGTGGGAATAGTAGTGAGATTGGCATTCTGTCCAGTCCTGATCCGTGGTCACTAGCGAAACCACTAAAGTAGGGATGGACAGGATCATCACAACCAGCCAGAGCAGAACCAGCAGCCTCTTCTTTCTGACCTGATGTAAGTACGTCTGCAGGTACACCACCTGTAGGTAGCGCTGGACACTCAGCACCGTCACAGTCAGCAGGCTACCATAAAGGCTGCAGTACACTAGATACGCTAGGAGCTTACAGGCCACCAGGCCGAGGGTCCAGCTGAACAGAAAAGTGTATATCCACACTGGCAGGGTGAGCAGGCAGAGCAAGTCTGATATGGCCAAATTCAGCATCAAACTCTGGCTCACACTGGACAGGTGGTGCCAGTTTGGTTTGAGGATGATCACAGCAATGTTTCCAGGAACTCCTAGCGTGAAGCAGAGGGACAGCATTACCGCAGGGACCAGACCTCGGGAGTTCCACAATTCGGGAGGTGGATGTGCAGGAAAGGAGGAGGTGTTAGAAGTGACCACAGTGGAGTTGAGTTGTTCCATGCTGCAAACCTGAAAGTGATGATGGCAACAGTGCACTCAGTCAAAGGAAGATGTTTGAGGCATTCAAAGAGGAACAACAAAAAAACAAATGATGTCATATTCCATCGTGGCTGCAGTAGCAAGACTATATTATCGGATGTATTTTCTTATATTTAGTCTTTTCATTAACTGTTGTTTCCTCTGACTGGATCTCTCCTAAAGCTAAGATGCTTATACAGTAGATATCATTATCAATGGAAAGAAATGGCATAGGAAACAGTTTTTCACAACAACACCTCCACAGAAGTAAAAATAAAAAATACAGCAATAGAAAATAGGCCCTAAGGATAAGTTAGTGTCTTTGGCTAGAGCAACCGATAAGAACCTTAAAAATGTTAAACACAGTTTACCTATTGAATTACTACCTTAGTGAAGAAATAAGTTCATTGTCTACTACTTGTACTTTAAATGTAGTGATTGTTTATTTTATTTCAAAATTAATCAAGGGCAAGCACACAACTTATACTGATTAGAACTGTCTAAAAAATGATAAAATGTTTAAAATACAAAACCTGGTTAGCTGAGCTGGAGTGATTTAGATGTCTTCTTTTGGAGAGAAAGGGACAGGAAGGAGTTCTCCTGGCCAGTGAAATCCTTCCTTCGCTGCGGAGCCGTAGACTCTTGTCGATGACGCTTTGTCCAAAGCCCTCAAAATGTCTCTAAAAATCTTCAGTCAATGTTACAGTTGAAAGAGCGAAACTTTAGAGTCCAATAATTCTTCGGATGGTTGGTTGTGGTTATCCTCTGTGGCTCAATCTCCTGAAGTCCACTGAAGAAAACTATTGCTGTTCAAATCCCCAACTCTTGTTGTAAGCTTTAGTCCTGTGCGGTGATGTTTCTGCTCTGAATCAGATGCATTTGAGATCTGCCGAGATATGTCTGACTATTCTTTATATAGAGGGGGGTGGGGTATTATCAGATGTTTTTCACAACAACACCTACACAGAAGTAAAAATAAAAAATGCAGCAGGGGGTGGGGGTTTCAGGATATCTTCATCTTTTGTCCTTCCACTTCTCCTTTTCCATCCCTGTCTCTGCTGCTGACTCATAGTCATGTCTTCACCCAAACTCAGTGACCTTTCGCACAGTGGTTTAACCTTAACTCCATACTTTGACCATATTATTTCTTTTACAATCAAAAGATTTATTTATCTTCAATTTACCTTATTTTCAGTCATCATCACATCATGTTTTAATACCAAATCATCTTTGTTTTAATCATTATTCAGTATAGTGCTTATAGCATTGCTAAGATCTGTGTTTTACAGAAGGAAATATGTTGCACTTCCCTTTTCTCACTCACTGTTGTTACTAAAGGGAGAAAGGCTCCAGCTTTATTCTTTGTGACCTGATAGCAAGAGCAGTGGGATCTCAACTTATTTGGCACTCCCTCCTTAAGATCACTGGCTGTCTTTGACACTCCGATGCTAATCTTCGGTGAGCATGAAGTCACCCACTTCCTTTTCTGAATGCTTCTTTCCCACATTTCAGCTTCCTCAGACCTCTGCCTGCCTAGAGTCCTGAGGTTGTTCTTAAGGCTACCACACCATAGACCTCTGACGTAGGGTGGTAAGTTGTGTGTGTTGTCCTGGTTCTCTTCAAGCTTGGAATTGGCTTGAGCTGCTCAACCCCTTGGATTTCCTTCTTCTTTCTAGCACCGTTATGGTGCTCTTTGTGGTGAAGACATCCTTCTTCTTTCCCTTACAACCTGCAATGTATTGAACACATACTTCACAGTCATGGGACACGATGAGCCTGGCCTCGAGGATCCCAAAGTTGTTGCTTCTCCAATTCCTTCCGTGCAGGCACGGTGCCTGCAAGGCCCAGTGCTTCATGTGCGGCCTGCACCAGTTCCATCTCGAACTCTTCTGGGACAAACCTTCTTCTGGTTGTCTTTTTCAATCCCGACAAAGACGATCCTCTTCAGCTGCACACAGCGCTCCACTTCATCACTTCCTTGCCAGTGATTTATTCCAATGGGCCTTCTGATGTAACACATATGGTGGCACTTGGAATTCTGGATCCTCACTGTTGCTTCCATTTGTCTCTTCCCTCCGGCTCAGCATCTGTGGCTCCTCAGCCGACGCCCCTGCATTTGAGTCATCTGCTTTTCAAAGCCTCCCTTAGCGCTTCGGGTCAGAGATGAGTTGCAGACTGGTTGTCTATTCAGCGCCGCTATCTGGATATAGCTTGACTGCTCCTTTCAGTCGCTCTCTCCCCCGCTTCTCCCTCAGGACGTGTGTGGGTAGGTGACGTCTGCTTTTCTCTAGCTCAGTGGTTCTCAACCTTTTTTGGGCCAGCGCCCCCCTATCCATTATCCAGGTCCTTTACCACCCCCCATCCAAAAAGATGTTGGCTATTTTCCCTGAATATTGTTGATTATTATTATTATTATTATTATTATTATTATTATTATTATTATTATTATTATTATTATTATTGTTACTTTTGTTATTGAAAAACATGAAAAAACACATAAGCTAATTGAATGGCAAACTTCAGATTTATTACTTTCCCATGGAAGAAGAAAGTTATTTCACCTGTAGATCAACTTATTTAATATCATCCCTGCTGAGTCAGCACACATGATTTAGTCTTTCCTCCTCTCTTGTGTCTTATGTTTGGGGAAGTAACCTCTTTAAATGTGATTGTGGCACCTTTTCACCAAAACGAAACTAACTGACAACATGTGATCAGGCACACAAATCCATACACGTTAACTACTGCTTTTCTCTAGCTCAGTGGTTCTCAACCTTTTTTATCCATTATCCAGGTCCTTTACCGTCCCCCATCCAAAAAGATGTTGGCTATTTTCCCTGAATATTGTTGATTATTATTATTATTATTAATATTTTTGTTGTTGTTGTTACTTTTGTTATTGAAAAACATGAAAAAACACATAGGCTAATTGAATGGCAAACTTTCCCATGGAAGAAGAAAGATATGTAAATAGTAATTTTATTTAATTAAAAGGTTTCCTCCCAGAAACTGTGTGTGAACCCAGGGACTCTTTTCTTGGCGGTGGCACTTAATAAGTGGGTGGTATGGGGGTCCTCCCCTAGAAGATTTTGAGCATTAAAAACCTAATTTCCTGCATTCTGGTGAAAATGTTTGCTCCAATTTCCTATTGCTTTCAAATATGTTTCACCTGTAGATCAACATATTTAATATCATCCCTGCTGAGTCAGCAGTAGAAATGCTATTACTGGCACCTCTTCAGCTACCAATTCACACTCTGTATCTGTGGTCCAAGCTGGACTCAAACCGGCGTCTCCTTATGGACTGACCTACTGCCGCCCCTATAATAAGAGTACTACTAAACCAATAAAGTGCCACTACTAGGAATAACAATCATCATCATGCTGCATACAATTGCATACCACAACTACTTTTACTGTCCTTTTTACAAGAGATGCATGTCAGAAGCTCACAAATATATATATTTATTTTTAAAAAGGCTATGTAATTTCCTGAAACAGCTTTGTACAGCAATTTTTTATTTGATTGTGGGGAAAGGCTGGGTGCCAGTGGCGGAGGTTCTAGCTGTAAGTTGCTGGACTGGTAAAGATGAGATGCTGGAGATCCTGACATCCCAGTGCCAGAATCCCGGACTAGAGCGACTTGCAGAGGTTGATGGATGTGGGCTGAAAGAGGTTTTTGGCACCCCGGTGCCCAGTGACCCGACTAAAGCTCCCCCGAAACGGTTTCCAACAACTAATTTTTGGATGGTTCTATGTCTATGTGACGAACTGATTGACGCAGTCAGGTTAGTGATGACTGGGAGCGAGCGACAGAGAACACAGGCATCCCGGTGCCAAAGCCCCTTTACTCTGAAACAATCATTTGCTCCAATTTGAAATAACATTGGTTTGGAATGGCTTGGTTTGAAATGACTGTTCGCTCAAAACGACTGTTCAATCGAAATGACTGTCCCTTGAGACAACTTTAGCTTGAAACAACTTTGGTTTAAAATGATTGCTTGAAACAACTGTTAGCTGGATGTTAGCTTGAAATGATTGTTCGCTTGAAACGCTGTTCGCTTAAAATAACTATTAGCTTGAGGTTAGCTCAAAACGAAGCTTGCTGGGGAGAGTCCCCAGCTACAGGAGCACCAGGGCCGATGCTCAGCGCAAATCGCATTCCTACCTGAAAGGGCCATCGCCTAGGTCACCAAATGTAAGGGGGCTACATTGTGCCGCAAGAGAAGGACGATCACTGACTGTCCGCAGCAAGAGGGAGTGGACAGAGCCAGGGAGAGGAGGTCATGGAGCGGCCTGACGCTGTGAACAGTCGGTGATCATTCCATCTGGCTGGATGAAGCCTGACAAGCCACATTTTACGCATGATCCATGATTATAGGGAAGATTTATAAACTTGGAATGGCAAAAATAGCATGTCACGGGTTTCACCTGTTGGATCCCCTGTACTTTTTTTTTTCATGTTTTCAGTAATTTGGTATCGACTTGGTATCAGATTTTCTTGACACCCCTGTTTGAAAAACCTGTTTCATTATTTTAAAGGCTTTGACAATATTGTCACGGGTCAGACTAAATCAGTTATGGCCGAGCCTCACTTTTGATACCAAATTAAGGACAATAATTAAACACTGACAACAACACAAAAAGAATGAAAATTGTAAAAGGAATTTGGTTGTGGCATGAAATGTGACGTTGGTTCTGCTTTCTGACAGCTGTGTTGCTGCAGAGGAAAAACACAGACATCCTGCTGAAATGGTCTGTCCATACTTGTGACTTACACTAATGAAGAAGTCCTCACCTTCAGTTGAGGCTGAGCATCCTGTTGGACTGAGACAGAAGTCTCTCACGGCTGAATTTCCTGTGAAAAGGTCACCAGAATTATGTAACAAAGGCTTACTTAGAAAAGCAGCTTGTTAGACATTCTTTGTATCTGATCATGTGTTGTAGGTTTGACATGCCGGAGTTAGCTTATTAGCTAACACACATTTACATTGAAGTTTGATTAAAGTGCATTGTCCCTGTTAAATAAATAAATAAATAAAATAAAAAAATAAAATAGATTAATGAAGATTTGACCAATTGTTTTAAATATTTTACCATATTTGGAAGATCTCTTGAGTTCTTCCTGATCTCCACCTGTATAAGAATGGGACAAGAAAATGTTTCTCTCACTCTGGGGCTCTTGTTGCTGTTCTCTGTAGATTAGACTCTTTTATATTTGATCTTTCTTTATGTTTTGAATGTTTGAGAAGAAGTAGAGAGGAACGTTTTTGTTATCAGTTAGCATTCTTAGCACCTATTGGCTTAATGCACAGAAGATTAATATATCAATATTTGATTTTTTCAGCTTTAAACAAAAACAGATTGTTAATTCTACAATCAAAAGACAGTTCCTGTAAGACTCTTCTCAGTCACTCATCTGAAAGTATGGGCCCTCTTTGGGATATGTGGACACTTTTAGTAATAATTAATATAGTAAATATAATTCAATAAAATATTATTGAACCGTGTTTGACAAGACATTTTATTTTCTCCGTTTCCCGTCACAATGAGTAAATTTAATTTGTTTCCTCAAGATCTCAAGTTGTTAGTGTTATTATCTCGAAATTTCAAATGGTGTTTTCTCGAGATCTCAAGATAATGAAACTTTGTTTTCCCGAGATAATAACATAATTAAGTCGAGAGCTTGAGAAAACAAATGATAGTCTAGTACAGGGGTCGGAAAGGAAGTTTGGCATCGGGCCAATTTTTTGAGGATAATTTAAGACTGGTCATCAGTGTGCCTTGTTGGCTTAGTTGGTAGAGCATGAGACTATCAATGTAAGGATTGTGTTTTTGATTCCTACAGTGGGCAAATATCTTTTTTATTTTATCCTATAAGATTATCAAGAGACTGTTTTACACGCTCACGATAAAGCATTTGCTCGAGTGTGTGTGTCTGTTGGTCAACATCCATCAACCTCTCACATTTTCATTTCATCCATTTCAGAGGTGTGTCAGACACCTCTGAAGGACATTCAAAAGAGTCTGGGGCTTGATTGACATACCTTAGCTGTCACAGAAATAGCTGTTGCGAAATGTGAGATTGAATTTTCCTGAATGAGAAGTGCAGGTATTTCCTCTGCCTGGGGATAATGGGGTTGATGGATGTGGACCAGTTGCCAGGACGCACATGCTCCATACTTTATTGTGAGCATGAGAAAACATTTTCCTCATAATTAATTTGTTGAAGAGGGAGAGGAAAGTTTTTCATCCAATGTAGGGATCAAACACACAACCCTTACATTGTCCTGAGTCCCGTGCACTACCAATTGACCTAACCCGGCATACTGACGTGTCATAAATTATCCCAAAAAATTGGATTGCTGTAATTGATGGTTGAATAGTCACTTAATCAGCTCATTTAATCACATTCAGTTATATTTAATTTCTTGCTAAAAGAATAGATTCGAATTTGATTAATTCCATAAGGCACTGCATCCTTTTTTTAAATGTGGTGTTTTTTTAAGAGGCTAAATTTTGCATACTTAGCACTGTTCTTCTTCATCACCGACACTGCCTCATAACAAAAAAGACATGAAATTGCCTTCCTTCTGCATCAATCCTGAATCCTTTCAGCTTTCGCTGGCCACATAAAATTAAGTGGCCCACCACATCATTTCGGCCTTGAAAGGACTAGTTTGTTTTACTATTGATACAAACTCATATGCCAGACGTTGGGAGACGAGAAAAAGTTTCTGACGCTCTACGACACTGAGAACAAGATTCCAGTGTTTTCTGCCTTAAAGTACATTGGGGATGGAGGAGCACCAAAACCCCCAAACGACTGGATGATAGAGCCACAGGTTTGATTCATAAAATATACTACTAAAGGCCTAAATAATAAAGAAAGAACCTACATAAAGAGTAATATTGTATTTTGGGTACACGTAATTGCTGCTAGTGCATCCACACTCAAAGAAGATGCTACTACTATTGCCTACTAAACAGTATTAAATACAACTATTTAGAAGAATAATAATCATCAGGCTGCACACAATTGCATACCCCACTTAATTTTACTGTCCTTTTTATAAGAGATGCATTTAGGACGCTCGTCTACCGAATGTTTGTTCAACCCAGGTTTACCTCCTTTAAATTAAAACAGCTGTCACCGGTTAATTCCTGGTTTTCTCATTAAGAATCCAGGCTGCAGTGTAGTCCCATACACTGATAAACTGTAGAATTACCCAGAATTACATTGTATCATTACTAATAAAAATTTAAGTGAGGTGATATTCTGTAGTTTTCTTATTGTCAGAGAAATACCAACACTACGCTAAAGACTTCTTTACTCTGTGGTTCCTAAATCTCACAAAATATATACTTTAATTTTTTAAAAAGGTTTAGTAATTTCCTTAAATGGCTGGAGTTTTTAAGCAAATGTGAAGCAGCAGGAAATAATGCAATTAATTGAGGACTATTTATCATATACTATTTATTTAGCGGTGGATTAATCCACATTTATATTTATTCATTTAGCATAATCGACATGCTTTGTGGGAGATGTAGTTTATGGTTCATGTACGTTTTAAAGCAGCATATACTTTTATTTTAGGACAATCATGAATCTTTTCAGCTTTCGCTGGCCACATAAAATTAAGCGGCCCACCACGTCATTTCGGCCTTGAAAGGACTAGTTTGTTTTACTAACCTCAGCTCCTCCATGGTCGCCACCATCCTTTCTTTACCAGTTTTTCAGACTCATCTGAAAACTCAAATATAAAACAGAGACTGATCGAAGACTGTACCTGGTTTTCTCAACAGTGAACAACTAGGTACTAATGACATGCGGCTAATTAAGTTACTTACTATAAATGTAGCTCACGTTAACTTACATAGTAGCCAAAAAAGCTTTCCTGCCCAGCAATAGTATAAAAGCCCAAGGAAGATGTTTGCTTGAGCGACTGTGCTCGACACACTGTGACCTACACTGTACCTTTTCTGCCGTACAATTTACTGCTAATCTTTTCCTTTGCTAACTTTCACTTTCACTTTCTGCCACTCACTCGCTCTCAATTGTTCACCTACACACTCGCCAGTGTGTAGGTAGTCAGGTAGAAGCTAGACAAATGTAGAGCAAACCAGACAAGCGTTGAGAGTTACTGTGCTCTTAATGATCATGACGCTTTTATCAAAAGCGACTTACAATTGATATATATTTCAGAGGCCACACACCTCTGGAGCAACCAGGGGTTAAGTGTCTTGCTCAGGGACACATTGGTGTCTCTCAGTGGATTCAAACCCAGGTCTCTCACACCAAAGGCATGTGTCTTATCCACTGCTCCATTACCATCTACATTTGGCGCACTAGTGAGTATTTGGGGCAGCAGGACGGTTTATGTTAAAATAAATGACAGTGTGTGTTCATGGTGATGAAGGAACATGTTGCACAGTGTAACAGTGAACCTCACTGAGTCTTACAGTGTTTCCTCCTTCAGTCTGAAAAGTTTGATGGCATCGTTTGCATATTGTTTTTGTGAATTTATTTTTACTCCCTTTCATTTCAACGACATGAGGTGGAGCTGTTGCTGCAGGTGCACTTGTCGCCCTCTTTCACTTGCTGGATAAAAAAGCGATGACCGTCATTCAGAATTTGGTATCAACTATCAGCCTATCAAAGTAGAGTTTTGTGTGATGAGTATTTGCTCACATGATGAGCAGTCAGTGTTTTAAAAGCTGGCTTTCAATGTGTCAAATTGTCAGCAAAAATCTGTTTAAATATTTTGAAAAAGTTTTGAAAATACTGTCACAGGTCCGGCTAAATGGATTTTGGCTGTGCCAGATGTCATGGCATCACCTCCCCACCCCAAAGGAATTTTGATCCCAAACTAAGGGCAATAATTAAACATTTACAACAACACAAAAATAATGAAAATAGTAAAGGGACTTTGGTTGTGACTCTGCACAAATGACATGAAATGTGATGTTTCTGCTTTCTGTGCTGCTGCAGAGAAAAACCACAGACATTCTACTGAAATGTACTGTCCATACTTGTGACCAACACTAATGAAGAAGTCCTTGTTTTCAATTGATTTCTGTGTAAATGTCACCAGAATTATGCAACATTAACACCTTTTTTTTCTACACCAGTCTTATTCATGTTTTAAAAATAACAAAAGCTTACTTAGAAAAGCAGCTTGTTGGACATTCTTTGTAACTGATCACGTGTTGTAAGTTTGACATAGAAGAATTGAGCTTTGACCAATGTCTGAATTGTATTTCATGTTTTGCCATATTTAGAAGATCTCTTGAGTTCTTCCTGATCTCCACATATATAAGAGAGGGACATGAAAACGTTTCTTTCACTCTGGGACGCTCGTTGCTGTTCTGATCTCTGTAGATTAGACTCTTTTATATTCGATCTTTCTTTATTTCTTGATAGACATGTTTGAGAAGAAGTAGAAAGGGAGGTTTTTGTTACCAGTTGGCATTCTTAGCATTTTAATGCATAGAGAATTTTGATAAATCATATTAGATTTGTTCAGCTTTAAATTGAAACAGATTGTTAATTCCACAATCGAAAGACAGTTCCTGTAAGACTCTTCTCTGAACGCTGACTGCCACAGCATTTCATCTAAAGGTATGGTGGACAATTTTAGTAATAATTTGATATTAAATTATCAAATCGGTGTTGAACATCTAAACGCTAAAATTGAACCCTCTCAGATCTGATATCTGATGAATGATTCAGCAGTTTTAAGTCAACTATATGATCTGCTGCTGGTATGAATAAATTATATTTAGTTGATGCAAAATAATATTGAAAGGTGTTTGATCGGTACAGAAGCCCTAAGAGGACATACATTCATACGTTTTATTTTCTCCGTTTTCCAGTCACAACGAGTAAATTTAATTTGTTCCCTCAAGATCTCAAGTTGTTTATGTTATAATTTCGAAATATCAAATGGTGTTTTCTCGAGATTTTAACTCTTTGTTTTTCCGAGATAATAACATAATTAATTTAAAAGCTCGAGAAAACAAATGATAGTCTAGTACAGTGGTCGGAAAGTAAGTTTGGCATCGGGCCAATTTTTTGAGGAAGCATAGATGGGTTGATGGATGTGGACCAGTTGCCAGGATGCACACGCTCCATACTTTATTGTGAGCATGAGAAAACATTTTCCTCATAATTAATTTGTTGAAGAGGGAGAGGAAAGTTTTTCATCCAAAGTAGGGATCAAACACACAACCCTTACACTGTCCTGAGTCCCGTGCACTACCAATTGACCTAACCCGGCAAAAAATTGGTCCGATGCCAAATTTACTTGCTGACCCTGGTATTAGACTACTGTTTTCTTTTCTCAAGATCTCGAATCAGTTATGTCATTATATCGGGAAAACAAAGCTTCGTTATCTTGTTATCTCGTGAAAATGGAGTTAATAAAATGTATGAATGTATGGCCACTTAGGGCTTCTGTAGGTCAGATAATTTTACTAAACAATATTTGATTTGACCATTGTCGTAATTGATGGTTGAATAGTCACTTAATCAGCTCATTTAATCACATTCAGTTATATTTAATTTCTTGCTAAAAGTATAGATTTGAATTTGATTAATTCCATAAGGCACTGCATCCTTTTTTTAAATGTGGTGTTTTTTTAAGAGGCTAAATTTTGCATACTTAGCTCCATGTTTGGTGTCAAAATGCCGACGTATACTGTTCTTCTTCAACACTGACACTGCCTCAAAAATCAAAAGACATACTGTTTATTCTCCTTGAAGCACAAACATGTATTCACCTTTCCATCTTTCACGAATTTGCCTTCCTTCTGCATCAATTTTTCTCTTCTTAGACATTTTTGGATTGTTTTTATAAATTTTCCACTTGTTGGAAAACCACCGTAGTTAAACACGGATGTGGAAACATCGCAATCTAGTGGTGTGATGCCGTCACTTTGCGGGTCACATAATCGACATGCTTTGTGGGAGATGTAGTTTATGGTTCATGTACGTTTTAAAGCAGCATATACTTTTATTTTAGGACAATCATGAATCTTTTCAGCTTTCGCTGGCCACATAAAATTAAGCGGCCCACCACGTCATTTCGGCCTTGAAAGGACTAGTTTGTTTTACTAACCTCAGCTCCTCCATGGTCGCCACCATCCTTTCTTTACCAGTTTTTCAGACTCATCTGAAAACTCAAATATAAAACAGAGACTGATCGAAGACTGTACCTGGTTTTCTCAACAGTGAACAACTAGGTACTAATGACATGCGGCTAATTAAGTTACTTACTATAAATGTAGCTCACGTTAACTTACATAGTAGCCAAAAAAGCTTTCCTGCCCAGCAATAGTATAAAAGCCCAAGGAAGATGTTTGCTTGAGCGACTGTGCTCGACACACTGTGACCTACACTGTACCTTTTCTGCCGTACAATTTACTGCTAATCTTTTCCTTTGCTAACTTTCACTTTCACTTTCTGCCACTCACTCGCTCTCAATTGTTCACCTACACACTCGCCAGTGTGTAGGTAGTCAGGTAGAAGCTAGACAAATGTAGAGCAAACCAGACAAGCGTTGAGAGTTACTGTGCTCTTAATGATCATGATGAATTTCGCTGATAAGCAACTACCTTGCCAATAATTTCTCAGTAAGTACTAACTGAGGAATTATTTATACAATGGTATCATTTGAATCAAGAAGGTGTCAGAAAAAGTCCTGCTCTGATGTGTTAGTCCTTAAGTACTTAATCTCTATGCCCTAACTTAGCGCCTAACCCCCTCAGTTACGATGCCTAGTACCTAGTTTCTTAACAATGGGTTCTTGATTTCAAACAGACAAAAGCAGGCTTCTCATTTTTAGTACATGACAATTTGGCTGGCTGAAATGACAACAGCATTTTTCTTGTGTTGCGATGTTGGGATAGTCCTAGAATTACAAGTTCGACAGGGAAAACAGTTCAATATATCTGTTGGCTGTTTTACATACTTATTTTCATCTTTTAATGTTACAAATGAAAAGCCTTCTAGGATGAGAACTAGCCAGTTGTTTTGGAAATAAATAACTAAATAAAAGTGCCAAGAATTGCTCTTACTACAGCCCCATGCAGAAATCTAAAGCTCACATGTTCAACTCTACGTCTTCAGTCTAATAGATAATTTATTTAAAGTTTGTTGCTGTGGTTCAAACTAAAGAAAACAACTGTAATGTTTGATGGTTGTTTTTCTCTCCTCTGACCTAAAGACACACAGAGTTTGACAATGACGTCCATGAAGATGTGGTATCTCTTGCTTCTCGCTGCCTTCCTGCCCATTGTTCCCACAGTGGCTGAAGTGGTTAAGTTGGTGTCCGACTGTGCAGAGTTTCTCCTTGATGCAAAGCCACCACATGTCCCAGGCATCTTGGAGGACGGGCTCATTCAGGACCAGAATCGCTACAAACTCATATGCCAGACGTTGGAAGACAAGAGAAAGTTTCTGACGCTTTACGACACTGAGAACAAGATTCCAGTGTTTTCTGCCTTAAAGTACATTGGGGATGGAGGAGCACCAAAACCCCCAAACGAATGGATGATAGAGCCACAGGTTTGATTTATAAAATATACTACTAAAGGCCTAAATAATAAAGAAAGAACCTACATAAAGAGTAATATTGTATTTTGGGTACACGTAATTGCTGCTAGTGCATCCACACTCAAAGAAGATGCTACTACTATTGCCTACTAAACAGTATTAAATACAACTATTTAGAAGAATTATAATCATCAGGCTGCGCACAATTGCATACCCCACTTAATTTTACTGTCCTTTTTATAAGAGATGCATGTAGGACGCTCGTCTACCGAATGTTTGTTCAACCCAGGTTTACCTCCTTTAAATTAAAACAGCTGTCACCGGTTAATTCCTGGTTTCCTCATTAAGACTCCAGGCTGCAGTGTAGTCCCATACACTGATAAACTGTAGAAATACCCAGAATTACATTGTATCATTACTAATAAAAATTTTAAGTGAGGTGATATTCTGTAGTTTTCTTATTGTCAGAGAAATACCAACACTACGCTAAAGACTTCTTTACTCTGTGGTTCCTAAATCTCACAAAATATATACTTTAATTTTTTAAAAAGGTTTAGTAATTTCCTTAAATGGCTGGAGTTTTTAAGCAAATGTGAAGCAGCAGGAAATAATGCAATTAATTGAGGACTATTTATCATATACTATTTATTTAGCGGTGGATTAATCCACATTTATATTTATTCATTTAGCTGATGCTTTTATCAAAAGCGACTTACAATTGATATATATTTCAGAGGTCACACGTCTCTGGAGCAACCAGGGGTTAAGTGTCTTACTCAGGGACACATTGGTGTCTCTCAGTGGATTCGAACCCAGGTCTCTCACACCAAAGGCATGTGTCTTATCCACTGCTCCATCAACATCTACATTTCATGCTCTAGTGAGTATTTGGGGCAGCAGGACGGTTTATATGGGACCGTGTTAAAATAAATGACTGTGTGTGTTCATGGTGATGAAGTGAACCTCACTAATGTGTTTTCAGTAGTGGACAACAACAACAACAATGGAGCTCTACAGCTCATAGGAAGAAGAGAAATCAGGCTGAGCTTTTCTGTGCTGCTAAATGCTATTGCTTACCTGAAAGACATTTTTACTGTACATTTAATTTACTTTACTACTACCCTGCCTGCATCAGTAACTTAGCCTTTAACTCTTACAGCTTGAGAACAAAAATGACAAGAACAAGAACATGTGTGATGAAGACAGAGACAGGACCTACACCAAGCAGGCTGTGGACAATGATTACAACGACAACAATTTAAAACTTACCAGGGGACATTTAATTGCAAGCACTTATGGGTTCCAGACATCTGGCAAAAAGTCCACCTATACCCTGACCAACATCGTTCCACAAGAAAAAACATTCAACCAGGGAAGCTGGGACAACATCGAGAAGGGCATCAAATATGTTATGGACGAATATTGCAAAGACAACAGTGGTTCTATTAAAGCCTATGTAGTAACTGGAGCAATACCCAGCAACAACAACAAACAACTCAATAACAGGGTTAATATTCCCTCCAAGCTCTGGTCAGCATTCTGCTGCTGCAGCCCCAAAGAGAACAAATGGATCACAGGCGCACACTGGGGCGACAATGTTCCAGAAATTTTATCTAAAAAGCCTAAAAAAACTCTGCCCACTAAGACTCTGGCAGAACTCAAACAACAACTGGGGATAGATGTGTTTCCTGATACAATGTGTCCTGTTTCTTTGGTTTTCACAAACAGTAATAAACGCCAACGCCCCCGCTCTACTTCAACCCCTTTTTCCTGTCCCACTTAACATCTTCCCCGTTCACACCCACATTTGGCCGTGCCACCAAGACATATCCTCCCCTCTCACTAAAACATCTGGTCCACTATATCTAGTCCCGCCACATCTACATCTGCCTCTCTCTTTACTACATCTGTGAGTACAGATGTGTCTGTGGGGTTCTAGACTTCAATTTGTGATTATTCATTATGTTTAATATTTACTGAAGTTTTAAAAATTAAACAGCAACATGTACGCATATATAAAATGAACTAATCAAGATAATACATCGGCTTAATGGTTCAATGCAGAATTAACAACCTGAAAATTGTTCTATCACAAATGTTTGAATCTTCAGGCTAAGCTGTTTTTTACATTTTACTTTACTTTTTGTTTAATTTCATTTGTTATAATGACGGTGCTGTGAATAAGAGAAAATGTCTTTTGCATGGCTTCAGATGGAAGACACAGTAAATGTACACGAGGATGTGAATGAAATAAACTGCAGACGTCTGATACTGTGTGTGAAGTGGTGATTTTATATTTAGGGTGAATTAAACTGAGCTTTTATCATCTCATTGAATTTCTTGTATAAAGAGAATATACAATATACTGCTTTTCTAAACAAGTACCTGTTGGTCTTCAGATAATTGCTCGACCATAGACAGCAAGCCAAGCGGTGCAGTGTAAATCAGTGTAATATCCAACTGGCTAGAGTCCATCTATCCCTCATTGATCTATCTCTTTTGAATATTAAATGTTAAGATGTTGACTGTCCTGAGCCCTTCATTTACTATGGTCCTAGGACAACATCTAGTGTCCTTTTTGTATTTTTCCAATGTGAAGCTGTAAACTAGGTGATTAGAACAAGAAGCTAATAAATCAGCAAACAGACTCCAGAAAATTGTTGAGAGATGACTGATAACTGTCGGCCGGCTTTATTACAGTATAGAAAAACATTTACTATTTAAATTTAGTAATTTACTATGAACCAAAGTTTGTGTCGTACAGGAGTAATGATTCATTTTATCAACGAGGATCAGAAGTTTACCAGAAATTATTAATTAAATGATTTGATTCTCATTGGAAGTTTTCCAGAGTTTAATTTGTGGGTTAATATAAATCTAGTTAGATTAATGCTCCACACAAGGAGGTTAACAGCAGTCCTATGACTTTTGAATTAAAAGTTCAGCGTAGCTGTTTCACAACCGAAAAATCCCTTTCTGCGAGACATATTGACCAATTTGAAGAGTAGTTCTAAGTAGAGCGGTCAAATAACTTTGACAGACTGAGCCGGTGAATGGGTACTTCATGGGCGTGTTGAGCATCTGACCATATAAAGAAGTCTGAAACATGCTGCTCGCAAGAGTAGAAAACATTGGAACCTAGTTTTACTGTGACATGTTCTTATTTAATGTCATTTTCAGGATTTTCCCCGTCACATTTGACAGTGAAACTTCAGCAACTTCTTAATTGCAGAAGAACTGCAGATATTTTTTTTTATATTTACATAAAGTTAATGTTTATCAGTTTGATTTTATATGACGGTTTTTACATTTTTGATTATTACTTAAAACTGGATGTAACACAAAAATGCATTACGTTCCTGTCAATACATAGATGCTACAGGTATTGACTTAATTCATTGACTCTAGGCATATTTGAAAATGTCTCCATAAATAATATTTTTTATATATTTCTAATTTTAGAAAGAAAAAGCAAAACTTTGATCAGTATAAATATCATGACACCGAACATTAATTGGGACCTAATTAAAGTGAACTGATACCAAACTATGAATACTAAACAGGGAAGCTGCTACATGTTCCAGATATTTCACTTATTTATTTCTGTAGACTGTCTAATTTAAGTATTTTATTGAGGAGTCAAATATTAAAATAGTCAGAATTACAAATTGTCCTCACTTTGGACTTCGAGAAAAATGCAAAACTAACAAAATAAGACGTGTGCAGTATAAAACACAAAACCAAACCAAATCTTGCTAAATTGGGTAATTCGTATCTACATTGTTTCCCCTATAACTGAGAAGGAGATGCCATATTTGTAAAATTTTGTCTCCAGATGAGAGAGTTTGATGATTTATTCTAGCCACAGTGATGAGATGTCTTGTCCTTGAACATGTGTTTCTTTTCTACAATAAGTAAATAATTATGGTAAACTTTCTAAAGGTTTTGAAATCTTTTTCTTGCCCATTTATGAAGCATTGAGTTTTTATGTTTTCCCTGCGTTAGATTAACTGAATCAGCCTGTTAGTCATGTGTTGAAACCACACTGTCATTCATACATGCAAACTCAGAAGGGATGAAAAAGGTCACAAATTTTTTTAACCAAACTCCTGTAGGGGTCCCCAGAATAAAAAAAATGTGATTTTAACATTCTGGTGTTATATGAGAAGAAAATAAAGTTATTTTTGGACTGTTTCTCATTGTTATTGTGTCAGGTTTCAGCTTTGAAGACATGACCGCTGCAACATTGAGTTTAGTTACATCAGGGCTCTCCAGAGCGACCGTTTCAGTTGCGTATCCCCCTAAAAATAGATACCTGAAAATCAGCTGTTGCTGCAGCTGCACTTGTCGCCCTCTTTCACCTGTTGGCTCCCCAGTACCCTCTGTAACAACAACAAACGAGTAGTCATGTTTTCAGAACTTTGGTATCGACTTGGTACGGTGTGTGTCGGCTCTCCTGACATCCCTAGTCCCACATTCCACAAGCAGAAATGCACAAATCACAGTAAACGTTTTCTGAGATGAGTGTTTTCGCTCATCACCGTGATGTTTGGTCAGTGTTTTCACTGCTTCACTTCACTTCTTGGCATCCTCTCCCCACCCCAAAGGATAATAATAACAAAAATTAATGAAAAATATAAATGAAATTTGGTTGTGACTCTGTTTGAATGTCTGCACACATGAGATAAACTGTTAACATTAGTTCAGCTTGCTGACTGCGGCTGCTGCAGAGAAAAGCAAAACTTGTAACCACAGACATCCTGCTGAAATGGTCTGTCCATGCATGTGAAGAAGAAGTTCTCACTAGAATTATCTGACATCAACACCTTTGTTAAAATACCAGTCTTATTCATGTTTTGAAAGTACCAAAGGCTTACTTAGAAAAGCAATTTGTTACACATTATCATGTGTGGTTTGACATAGAAGAATTGAGCTTTGACCAATGTCTGAATTGTATTAAATGTTTTTACCATATTTAGAAGAGCTCTTGAGTTCTTCCTGATCTCCACCTGTATAAGAGAGGGACATGAAAAGGTTTCTCTCACTCTGAGGCGCCGCTCCTGTTGCTTTTCTGATCATTGTAGATTAGACTTTTTATATTTTTACTTCCTTTATTTCTTGAAATACATTTTCTAAGGAGAACTAGAGAAGGAAGTTTTTGTTACTAGTCTTTGGGATAGGTGAACAATTTTATTAATAATTTAGTAATAAATGATGAAATTGGTGTTGAACATCTAAACACTAAAATTTATGTCAACTATATGATCTGTTGTTGATACGATTCAATTAGATTTTGGTAGTGAAAAATATTACTGAAAGGTACTTGATCTGTAAGGAAGCCCTAATCGCCACACATTCATACATTTTTTTAGGATAATTTAAAGAGGTGGTATTATGCTTTTTGGCATTTCCCTCTCCTTTATTGAATTATATATCTTTTTTGTGCATGTAACAGGTTTGCAAAGTGAAAAAGCCCAAAGCGAGTTCCCATCTCCCACAGAAAGCTGGGTCAGGCATGCCCTCACACCAAGCTAGTCTGAGCGGAGGCCCTTTGGCTCGACTCACCTTTGTTTGGTTTTCCATTGTAGAAATGTTGTACCCAGGGGCGGCTTGTTCATTAGGGCGACCGGCTTGGCGATGCACTGCCAAGCCATGAAAGGCAGGGGATTTTTTTCACACTTTCTACCACACTGTTAGTTCAATTCAATTAAATTTTATTTATATAGCGCCAAATCACAACAACAGTTATCTCACAGCGCTTTTCATAAAAGAGCAGGTGTAGACCGTACTCTTTGGTGTTATTTACAGAGGCCCAACAATTCCCACCAAGAGCAAGCATTAGGCGACAGAGGCAAGAAACGTCTCGGGTTACGTATGTAACCCTTGTTCCCCGAGACACTGCGTCGGTGACGACACTATGGGAACGCCTCTGGGAGTGGCAGGGCTGAACTATGAATGAAACTACTCCAATCCTATTGGTTTTACTAGAATGGTAGTAATGACGGTGTAACCGGAGGGGGTATATAAGCACGCCGGCACATAGGACAAGACATAGGGGCAAGTCGTGTAGTCTGCACGAGCCTTTAGAGACAAATGCTGGCTGATTAACATCTGCTGCGTCTCACACCTTTGGCCTTTCAAGCAATCAACTCACCAGTTTGCCAGTTCTTCAGTGCTAACCAACGCTATGTCCAAGTCTTACACTTAAATGAAAGTAGATTTCTTTTGTCTAGTATTTTTTTCAACCTGTGATAAATGGTCTTGTGTCTGCCAACCGTGTTTGTTCAGAGCTGTATTCTGGAAACCACTGCCTCCCAGCCCTACGAATTGCTCTTGGAGCCCTCTCACCTGTCTGCTCACGTCTCTCTCTTCATTTTATCTGTTTGTTTGTTTGCTCCTGGGTCTATACAGCAAGCCCTAACACACCGTACGTAATTTTTTATTGAAGTTTTGATGACTGATGACATAGTTCGCCCTGTAGTTCCCCACTAAGTGGACTGCACAGGGTATTCAGCCATTTTAAGTGCGATTCCAAACTGCAGGAAGCGCAGCGTGTCAAAGGGCACTGTGAACTGTGTAGGGAAGAAGTGAACAATGGTTCATCACTTTGCAGGAAGTTGACAAGAAAGATTACCCATAAGCCTTTGTGCCTCATAGGAGCGGCAAAAACTAACAATAGAGCAGACCACAGAGTTTGTATTTCTGTCATTGTTGTCGTTGTAACTAATTTTTATTTCAGAGGTTAGGTTACCTAAATACAACAATGCTCATATGATTATTATAATTAATCCAATCACATTTATTCACGAGTAACATACATTTTAACAGAATATAAATAGAAGCAGTAATGGAAATTTAAGTTTTGTTATTGTATGAGTTTTTTTTAATATGTATTCAATATTTAATTTCAGTACATGTCCACATTAGCAGCAGGTATCCAAGGTGTTTACGTTACCAGGGTAACACGCGGTGAAACTGACGTGTGCTTTGATGATGTTGCAGAGTGTTCCGAAAAGAAGGATTTGGAAGTTCCCTTAATGGACATTCCTTGAGCAGGGAGCAGGGAGCAGGGAGCAGGGAGCAGGGAGCAGGGAGCAGGGAGCAGGGAGCAGGGAGCAGGGAGCAGGGAGCAGGGAGCAGGGAGCAGGGAGCAGGGAGTGCTGCTTATGAACACTGTGGATCAGAACGCAGCCATAGACTGAATGGTAAGGTTGGTAGCCTACTACTAAGAGCTATGTTTGAGCCTTTAGCGTTTAGCCACTGCAAACATTGTGTGGAACATAAGTGGCTAAGCGACACAGCAATGCCACCTGCCTCAAACAAAAATAATAGTAGCCTAATGTTTATTTCAGGATAAGGATATAAGAAGTATAATGTTTTGGATACATTGTTAATATAACGTTAATTGACTCACTCGATCAGAATGTCTGTCTTAGGTGCTTCGCTAAGCTGAAAGTGTTTCCTCTGTTAGTCTGAAAAGTTCATGGCACCGTTTGCATACTGTTTTTCTGTGAATTTATTATTACTCCTTTTCTTTTTGAAGACTCAAGGCGGAGCTGTTGCTGTAGCTGCACTCGTCCCCCTCTTTCACTTGTTTGATCCTCTGTACCTTTGGTCCTTAAAAAACGAGTAAGGTCATGTTTTCAGATATTTGGTATCGACTTGGTACTGAAGTATCGGTTTTCAGTGAATAAAAATCTGTTTCAATATTTTAAAAAGCTTTGATAATACTGTCATGGGTCCGGCTAAATGAGTTATGAGCCTCACTTCTTCGCATCCCCTCCCAAAGGGATTTTGATACCAAACTGAATACAATAATAAAACATTAACAACGGTTGGTTCTGCTTTCTGACAGCTGTGCTGCTGCAGAGAAAAGCAACACTTGTAACCACAGACATCCTGCTGAAATGGTCTGTCCATACTTGTGACATGCTAATGAAGAAGTCTTCATCTTCAGTTGAGGCTGAGCTTCCTGTTGGACTAAGAAAGAGGTCTCTCACTTCTGAATTTCCTGTGTAAATGTCACCAGAATTGAATTAACATTCACACCTTTTTTAAATAAGTCTCATGCACCTGACTGTATCTGGTCACGTGTTGTAAGGTTGACAAAGAGGAATTGAGCTTTGACCAATGTCTGAATTGTATTTCATGTTTTACCATATTTGGAAGATCTCTTGAGTTCTTCCTGATCTCCACTTGTATAAGAGAGGGACATGAAAAGGTTTCTCTCACTCTGGGGCACTGCTCTTGTTGCTGTTCTGATCTGCATAGATTAGACTCATTTTATTTAATCTTTATTTATCTCTTAATAGACATTTTGGAGAAGTAGAGAGGGAAGTTTTTTGTTACCAGTTAGCGTAGTATTCTTAGCAGATTTATGCGTTGAGGATTTTGATAAATCATATTTGAATTGTTGTTTAAATAAAAACAGATTGTTCATTCTACAATCAAAAGTTCCTGTAAGACTCTTCTCTGAAGGCCACAACCTCTCATCTAAAGGTATGGGTCCTCTTTGGGATAGTTGGACAATTTCAGTAATAAATTGATAATAAAAGATCAAATTTGTGTTGCTGAACAGCTGAACCCTAAAATTGAACCCTCTCAGTTCTGAAATATGATGAATGATTGAGCAGTTAGAATACAAACATATGATCTGTTGCTGAGATGATTTAATTACATTTAGTTAGTGTAAAATATTATTGATTGGTATTTGATCTGTACGGAAGCCCAAAAGGCCATACATTTACACATTTCACATGTCACCGTTTCGAAAGAGCAAATGTTGTTTTCCCGAGATAATGGGATAATTTTCTCGAGATTTTGAAATAACAAAACTTTATTTTCCTGATATAATAACATAATTAATTGCAAGAAAACAAAAAGATAGTGTAGTGCAGCGGTTGGCAAGTAAGTTTGGCATTAGGCCAATGTTTTTAGGATAATTTAAGACCAGTAATCAGTGTGCCTGGTTAGCTAAATCAGTAGATCATGGGACTCTCAATATAAGGAATGTGTGTTTCATTCCCACAGTGGGTGAATATCTTTTTTGTCCTTATGTTTCAACAAATTATGTATGAAGAATTTTTTAATAAACTTTGTGTTACTTGAACATTTGCCACTGTGCTTCTGTATGTCTCTTTGTTTGAGGTCATGTGCTCCTTGGGAAAAAATTTAGCATATAAGCCGCTGTAAATTACTATTTAGGGTTTCCCCTGCACCCTACTTTATATCAAGATTCATATAACATATGAATACAATAAACAATAAAGTTAATTTTGCACACTGTATAGACATTGTATTGGTATATATATACACATATAAATCAAGGTGTGTTGCATTGAAAATTAAAATAAAATTTAACTATATGGATGTACACTTACGTCTACAGGACAGAGTTTAGTCTATGCTTGTACCTGGTGTTCTCAACATTGAGGAAGTAGGTAGTAATGACAGGCCGCTAATTAACATTACTTCCTACAAATGTAGCTTACATAGTAGCCAAAAAAACATACAGGGTTTTCCTGCTCAGTTTCCAGAGTCCAACATAGTACATAGCTGCAGTACCAGAGGCTGCATTTACAGGACCCTGTTTTTTGTGACAGCTTCACCCAGTGAATTGGAGGGGGTCATGCGCAGCAACACAAAGGACAATAGGCTTCATGGCCGATGTGACCAGCTGTAGGGTTTACTGGTCAACATGCATACAATCACCGACATACAGTCGCAGGAAAAAGTATGTGAACGCTTTGGAATTACCTGGATTTCTGCATAAATTGGCCACAAAATGGAAACAAACACAGACCTGGTTTCAAAAAATGTGGACCTCACTAATTTCCAAACCCTGGTTGCGACCCTGTGTTTAACTCTACGTCTTCAGTCCAATGGATCATTTATTGCAACTTTGTTACTGGTTCAAACTGAAGAAAACAAACTGTAATGTTTGATGGTTGTTTTTCTCTCCTCTGACCTAAAGACACAGTGCTTGACGATGATGTCCATGAAGATGTGGTATCTCTTGCTCCTCGCTGCCTTCCTGCCCATTGTTCCCACAGTGGCTGAAGTGGTGAAGTCGGTGTCCGACTGTGACCAGTTTCTCTTTGAAGCAAAGCCACCTCGGGTCCCAGGCATCTTGGAAGGCGGGAAAATTCTGAATCAGACCCGATACAAAGTCATATGTCAGACTTATAAAGATGAGAGAAAGTTTCTGACGCTCTATGACACAGAGTACAAGATTCCAGTGTTTTCTGCTTTAAAGTACACAGGGGCAAAACACAAGGAAACCTCTGATATCCCTTGGAAGATAGAGCCCCAGGTGTGTTTTTCTTATTGGCTCATAAAAATGATACAGCCTTGTTGATGTAGTAGCACTAGCAGGGGTTTCACAAAAACTTTCACTGCCTTTTTACTGGTGCTGGGCAAGGATAAAAATTTATAATCGGGATTAATTGCATGGTTTTCTTGTGATTAATTGCATTGTTACGTGCAAAATAGAATAATGAATACTAAAGTAGTGTACTGTGCACTTTTAATTTAAATGTACAGCAATATACGCAAAAGTAATGACATGTAGTTTGAAAACACAGCATGAACAGTCTGGGGCCTAGACTCCAGGGCCTATGTTCAGTAGCTAGTTTTCCTGTTAGGTGTTCATCAGGGAAAGGTGATAAGTGTTCCCTGTGAGGCGAAGTGGTTGAGTACAAGGTGTCGATGTTGAATTGTCTTGAACTTTAAAGTTATGTAGCCCATAATATTAATTTAAGTTAAATAGGCTACAGTTGTGTAGCGCACAGAAGCCATTGCCATGCCCCTCCTGTGACCCATGGTTTGACTGTATGTGTATTCAGAGCCAGTGAGCAACGGAGTTTTTTTTTAAACTGCGTTAACGTGCAATAAAATAATTGTTGCCGTTAATTAATTAATGCGGTAATGCAATAATAACGTGTTAACGTGCCCAGCCCTAGTTTTTACATAAGAGAAGAATGGAGGAGTCTAGTCTATCAAATGTGTCTTCAACCCTGGTTGAGCCCAGTGTAAAGTCACCAACACCTCACTGCTAAACTGCTTAACTATAGAATTACTTTGTATGATTATTACTGTAAATTAAGGGTTAAGGTAGCAGATATTCTATATTATAGAATATGTCTATTATTATTATATTGTCAGAAAACACCAACATCAAATGCTTTCTGAATTCAAATGTTACTCAATCAGGAGGAAATAGTGCATTTTTTAGGGACTATTTTCAGCGGTGGATTCATTAACATGATTTGGGGCAGCGGGACAGTGTATGTGGGCTGAGTCAGGATGAACTACAGTGTGTGTGTTCATGAAGGAACATATCGCACAGTTCAACAGCGAGGCTAAGTGATGGGTTTTAATGGTTTTTGCATTAATATTGGAGCTCTATGGCTCAGAGGAAGAAAAGATTTCAGGCTGAGCCTTTCTGTGCAGCTTTACCTTAAAGCCATTTTTTAACTAAAGAATATTTTTACTGTACACCTAATTTTCTTTATTGCTACTCTGCCTGCATCACTAAATCATGCTTTAACTCTTACAGCTTGAAAACGGAAAAGACAAGAACATGTGTGATGTAGACCAAGACAAGACTTACACCAACCAGGCTGGGGACAAAGATTACAGAAACAACAAAAGGTTTGACAGGGGCCAGTTGATTCGAAGCTCTCACGGGTCCCAGATATCTGACAAAAACTCCACCTTTACCCTGACCAACATCGTTCCACAAGCAAAATCATTTAACCAGAAAAGCTGGAAAAGAATCGAGAAGCGCGCCAAACATGTTGTGGACGATTACTGCACAGACAACAATGGTGTTACTGAAGCCTATGTGGTTACTGGAGCAATACCAAACGACAACAACAACAAACTCAACAACAGGGTTAATATTCCCTCCAAGCTCTGGTCAGCATTCTGCTGCTACAGCCCCAAAGTGAAGATACTGATCACAATGGCATACTGGGCCGACAATTCTCCTGAAACCAAATATGTGCCCACTAACACTCTGGCAGAACTCAAACAAGAACTGGGGATAGATGTGTTTCCTGAAACAAAATGTCCTGTTTCTTAGTTTTTCACAAACAATCCCAATTGCCCATGTCGCTCTACCTCACTTATTTGCCTCCCATTTAACATCTGCCCCTGTCACTACAACATCTGGTCCACTATATCTAGGACAGCCACATCTACACCTGTTGGGGTTCTACCTGTATGAGGAAAATATACAACTCTAGTGAAACATTGGGAAATTCGAACAAAGCCTTCAATCCGTGATTTTATAGTTATGTTTAAGATTCAAGGAAATTAGTCAGCAGCTAACATGTAGGCTAGGGGTATATGTATAAAAATAAGTAATCGCATTCATTATAAAGAACGTAAATGCATAATTAACAACCTGAGAATTGTTCTGTCAAAAGCTAATCTTTTTATGTTTTTGTTTTTTTCCTTTGTTACAATTATGGGCCTCTGAATAGGAGAACGTGTCCTTTGCATGGCTTCAGATGAAAGACACTAAGTAAATCTACATGATTTGTAGAATGTGCATGAAATAAACTTTACAGTGAATTAAACTGAGCTTTAATCAATGTCTTATCAAACTTTAAATCAGTGTAATATCCAACTGGCTGGAAGTCATCTATCATTAATTGATCTCTTTTGAATATGATATATTTATATTCTGTCATGATCCAGCTCACTAATCAGCACACCGTTGTGTTTTGGTTATTCTTTCTTGGTAACAATGACTTTTATTTCAAACAGACTGCAACAGATCAGATGACTGATAACTGATAACTGTCTTCTGGGCTTTATTACAGTACAGTATTATATTTAGTATAAACCAAAGTTGGTGTTGGACAATGTGCACTGAGAAGCTGGATTCGATTCGATGCTTCGGTTGGTAACACCCAGTATAAAGAGTTTTTCACAAGGTTCAAAGGTTTTAAAAATGAACCAGTAATCCCAGTAAAAAAAAACAGTAAAATATTTTTAATTGTATTTTATGATAGCAGCTATATATTTTAGTTATTATTATTTATTTTTTTATTTTAGTTTCACAGCATTTATTCATACTTGCTATGTGGAAGCTCAACCAGCAGAGGTCACTCTATCCCCTGCTGAGGCGCACAGAAGCTCTGACTTGTGTTTATCAACCAGTAGCACAGCTACCACAGGATCACTGTTTAAAACCCTCTCAGCTTCCACAATCTACTGTAACCTTTTCTGTGTTGAAACGATACTTCCAAAACAAATCTGTAGAGTTGAATACTTTTTATTTTCCTTTGCAATTTTAAGACATTAAATCAACCAATGTAATATATTTTATTATGTCAGTTAATTAGATTAAATATTCTAAATTCAGCCTTAGTTCTGTAGGCCTGCTTATGTGTGAAACCTGGTGAGCAATATAGAGTAAAAAAGCATCTCCTCTAGCTTTTTCAAATCTCTTACTGCCTTTCTTGGGTTTAATTATATTTGATGGACCATCAGGGAAAGGCAGCGCTCTGCATTGTTTGTACTGTGTAAAGTGAAGTAAAAGTGAAATTGAATCACTCTTTTTTATCTCCCTAGGACTCATCCCAGGACCTCCAAGATTTTCCCAAAGACCTGGAGGATCTGAGCCAAGACTTCCACATAAAGCTTGGTGTCTCTTTCTCGTTCTGTTTAGAGGAGTTTGGCCACAGTCCCCTTTAAAAACAACAACAAACAAAACTACTATGTTTGTGTCTACTGATTGTTTCTTGAGAAAATAGTGCCATATTGAAAAAACTACGATACAATTACTATGTCCTTGTATGTACTCTTAAGGTCACTGCTAAAACATGACCAATACATCCCAGGCTGACATCCTCGACTGAGAGCCACCTGTGTGGAATATAGCGCTCTGGCCGCAAGAAATGGATGCCAAATATATTGCAAATATCTCCGACACCATCATTTATGTCAGCTGACCATTTGTGTTGTGTGTGCAGGTCTGACAGCAAAGCCTCAACCCAACACTCAAAAGGACTTCACAATTTCTTGCTGGTATTATGAAGGTAGTGATGTGAGTCCCCATCAATGTCAAGGAGTTCAGTCCCTCATAACAGCACAGGAGTCCATGAGAATGGACACCAGATTGTCCCAAGAGAGAGTCTTCCTTTCAAAAAGACCATCCAGTGAACTGAAGAGAGATTCTGCTGTTACAGATATGTACAGATATATCAACTTTACCAGCGGCAGCAATGATATAGCAATCTTTTTTAATAGCAGGAGAATCCACACCATAGGCGTCTCCCTCTCTCCAGTGTGCGCGTGCCAAATATCACATCCAGACTTATCAGAATCAGATTCAGCTTTATTGCCAGGTATGTGTATACAAAAGAGGAATTTGACAGTTACAGACCAGCTAAGTTACCTGTCTTTACCGACATGACAACCGCAACCACCGCCACTACCCCCTCAACCCTTAACCCCGTCCCTCACTCCAAGTGGAGCCACTTATTCTAGTGACACAGTGACTCTGTTACAGTAACTTTAATGTTACCTATCCAAATCTAAAAATGGCTGTTTAAACTCCACAAGCCTGTGCTCACCAATTGGAGAGGTTGTGGAGGTTCTCCTCTCTCCAATACATAGCACAACATGTCTTTATTCATCCGGTATCTGCATGGAGAAACGTCCAAAAGGCTCAAACAGGCAGAGCCTCACTGCTCTGTGACTGACTGTAATAGCTGAGCTAACAGATGGCAGTCAGTCAGCTAGCAATGACATGACAGCAGCCACCTGTCAATCAAAGCGGCCATACCACTAATGGTGGTTGCTGCTTGGTTGTAACATGTTTATACCGGAGAAAACCACAAATAAAGAACCCCAGTGACTGTGCATATTCTGTACATAATTCTGAGAACACATTGCAGCAACAAACACAATACATAAATACTTTAGTGTCAATTATTTTATTTTAAAGTTGAAAGCCTTCAGTAGTGCAGGTTAAGGCTTTTGATGTGTTGAGCTATTGTCCTCTGAAGTGTGAGACAGTGTCTGTAAAGAGGGTGCAGGTGTTTAGTACTAAAGGTGGGTGACAGGATAGAGTTGTGCTTTGTACATGTAGTCAATATCTTATCTCTTTGAGCTCTTTGAATCAACATGTGAATGGGACCTACTCTCTACTGTTGTTCATAATACTGCACATTATATTAATACATATTAAAGGACACAAGTTAACTTTGCCTTTTATGGTGCTGGAAGAAGTAGTGGTATTGTGCTTTGTCCTGCCAGTCCAGTATTTTTTTGAACAGAGAGAGATGGGGATAGGTGGGGATAGGTGACTAGGGACAGCCTTGCTACTATCATCAGTCCTCAAAATCTGCACAGACTCAGATTGGACTTGGAGGAAAATCTGGGAGGTGCTGGAATAAGTCCAGACAGAAAAAATCTGAGAGACTCATTTCAATTTTGTTTTACTTTACAAAGTACAAACAATGCAGTGTCCACACTGCCAAAAAACAGCATGGATAGCGAAGCACAATGCGAGACCTCGCTTGGATCCGTGTGGTTGCTCTTTGCTCCCCATGTGACAGACAGGCAATTCAATTCAATTCAATTTTATTTTATTTATATAGCGCCAAATCACAGCAACAGTTATCTCACAGCGCTTTTCATAAAAGAGCAGGTCTAGGCGACAGAGGCAAGGAAAAACTTCCTTCCAGACAAGCACTTGAGTAAACACCCGGCCCTCTATGGTTGGTGACCATGGTAACAGCTTCTGTGCACTACTTTATCTGTGACAGTACAACTATATTAGTGTGCACACCCATCCCTCACAATGTTGCAACATGTCTATAACCACAAATAAAGAACCCCAGTGACTGTGCATATTCTGTACATAATTCTGAGAACACATTGCAGCAACAAACACAATACATAAAAATGTAGCATCAGTTCTGATGTATTCAATATCTTATCTCTTTGAGCTCTCTGAATCAACATTTAAATGGAACCTACCCTCCAAGAAAAGAACTAAAAGATCTGAAAGCCCCAGAGCTAGAGGAGATGCTTTTTCACTCACAATAATGTTCACCAGGTTTCACACATAAGTAGCCGACATAACAGTGAGAACAACAGGCTGCATTTAAAATATTTAATCTACTTAACTAACATAATACAATATATTACACTGCTTTAGGGCTGTTACGATAACCGCAAAACTGAAATATCCTACTATTGGCCAAGCCTACCGCAGAGGATGGCGAGCACCTCAACAACCGCAATGTTCATTCTTTACACTTCAGTGCGTGTTAAATTAATAAATTAGTGCTTCAAAAATTCTACAAGCATAACGAGCTTTGTAATGGTTCAAGAATGGATCGTCATTGGCTGTACGTAACCCGACTTCAAACTTGGAAGCTGTAAGTTCTGCAGTGTTGTATGTGGTTCTTACTGGGGTTTTTTTGTAGGTTAGATAACTTGGCACCGGACATTAGCATATTGTGTGGCAATGTTGGACTAATTGTGATACTGAAGGACAGTCGAGAGACACCGTGTGAACTGTGTATTTGAAGCCCACTAAATAACGTTGTTGGATGCTTGCAGTTGTTTTTCATGTTGTTTTCTGTGGATCTTTAGTTATAACATTACTACATGGCAGTTGTTAGTTGTTAAAGTTCAATGGAAACCGATTATGCTCCACGCCGGTGTCTGTATGTGTGTGCATGTTACTGCATGCCCTGAAGGTAACGATGTAGCTAACACTATGTTGAAAAAAGGAGAAGGGTCCAGCTGCAGCCGGTTGTTACAGAAGCCACCGTGCATAAACATGATGACGTTAATTTTGGCCACTCGGCCCACGCAGACGCAGTCTGGCCCTGAGCAAGGGGATGCATAACCTTTACACAGTCTAGGTTTCTGTGTTTTGGGGAACAGAGATCCTCTTTCAACCTTGAATAAAAATTCCAAGAGAGGAGAGGAACAGCAAGAGGGGGAAAATACCGAAACACTCTCACAGCTCTGACCTAAACCCTAGTAAATGTGGACAGGCTAACATAAGGAGTATAGAAGAAGGAAAGGTTAAGAATAAAAACACAATAATATCTATCTATCTATTTAAGCCATAACAAAATTAGTAATAAAAATAGTAACAAGTAAAAGAACATACATAAAAGATCAAATGTCAGAGGGCACAATTTTCTTCCATAATATGTATTTATTATCATGAGCCAGATATGTCTTGATTTAAGTTAAAACTTATAACATTACTGAGAATTTAATGATAGAATAATGGCTGAACATTAATACTATTGTAGAGCTGTTGCTGGACACATCTGCTGTATCGGCTGCAGTGGTCTGTGTGACTGTGGGATGGGATCAGAGGCCTCTGTGAGCTGACCGGCCGCTGGCAAGCTTTCCCCGTTGATGGGCCTGCTAGCTACACCCGTTGGCACTTGCGGGGCTTCTCAACTCTCAACATTTGATCACACAATAAAACTGTTGAGCCACAACAAATCAGTGTGCAGGAAATTACTTCACCGCGACAGCCCTATACTGGTTCATTTAATGTCTAAAAATTGCAAAAAGTATTCATTTCTTTTCTTACAAACACAACCAATCAAAATGCTACACTCATTCACCAGGGCAGAGTTCAGCCCCGCCAAAATGCAGCAAAACACTCTGTTGTGTACGCAAGTACACTGCACTTTACTGTCTTTTTAATAGGGCTGTGTTTACATACTTGTTGCAGCTGATTGAATAACACCTCTAAGATGCTCACCAAACGTTACGCAACGGGCTTCGAGGTATATTTTGCAAGGAAACATTTTGGTCAATCCGAAAACATTGTAAACCGTTTTGAGGTTGAATTCGCTTTTGGTTTACATATGATTGTCTCAGTTCTGGCTCTGTCCCAGATGCTTTTAAACATGCTGTGGTTAGGCCACTACTTAAAAAGCCTAATCTTTACCCCAATGTGTTCAGTCTCACATCTGGCCTTTCTTTCCAAGAATCTGAAAAAAGTTGTTTTTAAACAGTTACAAGTCTTTTTACAACAGAACGCAATGTTTGAAAAATTTCAATCTGGTTTTAGATCACGTCACAGCACTGAGTCGGCACTGCTTAGAGTTCACAATATATAGATATTGGCTTGTCCGTAGATGCTGGGGATCCAACTGTTTTTTATACAGTGGACCATGCAGTCCTTCTCGCAAGCCTTGAGCATTTTGTAGGCATTCAAGGCTCTGCACTTAAATGCTTTAGCTCCTACTTGACAAATAGGAGTTTCTCTGTCACAATGGGTGATTTCTCCTCATCTGCTCCTCTCTATTGTGGGGTGCCCTAGGGTTCAATTCTTGGCCCTATCCTGTTCTCTTTATCTATGTTGCCGTTAGGGGCTATAATAGCCATTTCATTGTTATGCAGATGACCTGCAAATTGATCTGCCTGTGAAGCCTAATGACAGTGTTGCACTAAACTGCTTGCTTAATGGCATTAATGATATTAAATTGTGTCTCTGTTGGAACTTCCTTAATCTGAATGAAGACAAAACTGAGTGTATTATCTTCAGTACAAAATTCAGGTCAAACAATTTCAGTCTGGGAGCTTTGCCTTCATACGCCAAGTAAACTGTCAAAAATCTGGGTGTGACATTCGATGGTAGCATGAAATTTGACAAGCAGATTAGCAATGTTGTCAGAATGAGCTTCTTCCAACTTTGTCTCCTGGCTAAAGTTAAGCCTTTTCTTAACAGGCACAATCTATAAAAGGCTATTCATGCCTTTATTAGTTCAAGGCTAGATTATTGCAACGCTCTTTATGTTGGTCTAAGTCAAACATCCATCTCACATTTTCAACTTGTGCAATTTAAAGCACTGTGGATACCTGTTGGTTGCTGTAAAGTGCTATATAAATAAATGTTGATTGATTGATTGATTGATTATGTTTTTGTTTTCTTGTATGCTATTGCATACAACACTGTGCTAATGTTTCAACTGTAACGTTTTGCCAAATAAATATTTTGTGTTTTGACTGTTTTCAAACCTCTCAGCAGATTACTTTCACTCCAGAACAATGTATGGAAATGTACATAAGCCTATGAAAGGCCTATGAATGAAATATTTTTTTTTCTTCAGCTGTTAACCTGTATTGGTCAAAACTGAAGTCACAGTGTCAAAACTTTTCACACAGTCAGCGAAACAGAAGTGTATGTGGACCAAACTGTGAATCATTGCTTTCACACAAAATGCTTTCAATGCTTACTTCCTCCAAAATCCTCCACCTGCAAAACATTATATATTATACTATAACACACTGTGTCCAAAACTGTAAAAACACTGTAATGGAAATGTCCTTTAGTGAGTCTTGTGAAATAAAGAGTCCAATCCAGACATCTTTTATGGGTGTTATTCTTTGCAAAGGGTCAGACAGACATACAGAGTGCAATTGGGTCAGACAGTCTGCAGAGTGTAAGACAAAGAGCCAGTGAAGAAACAGGTGACTTTATATTACTCAGCTATGTTAGTGAGGAAGGGAGTAGGGACCAACTGTCCTGAGATGAAGGCCTATCATGGACAGTCAGATAAGAAAACTCTCCAACGAGCATCTTTCCCATGGGAAACTTCACCTAGCTGTAACATAATAAAATGATCAAAAACATTGGTCTGTAATAATGAAGCGTGCAGGTGAAACAGTAAAACAGAAAAATCTCAAATTTCCATCACAACACATTTAAAAGTGAATGATGGCAAATGTCCATTTCTGCAGCAACCATAGTGAAATATATAAAAATCGTAGCAGAATATTTTCTTCATTTTATATTTACCTTTATGAGCATAGAGAACTGTGTAGAGTTTTGAAAAAAAGGAGGCGTAGTTTTGAAAATGTGTGGGAGCAGTTGTAGAAAAAGAGACTATTCAACAGAGAATCAGTTTAATGCATTGTGATCAACATGACATAAGCAATTGATACTGTAGGATACAGCAGTTGTAAATAATCATTTGCCTAAATGTGTCAAAAGAATTCCAAATTGCTTTTATGATGTGCACAAGTGATTAGATGATGTGGAGGTTGAACAAGTAGTTTTGGGATTTTCAATTCTGATCTGAGAAAAGCAGCAAAGTGACTGAGAAAAACTGTATTCTGTTGTGGTACTGCAGAATCTCCCACTACCTTGTGTTCTTTTGTCCCCCCCTTCCCTGTGTTTTCTGTCTGTCCTCCCTGTCTGTGTTTGTCTGGGCGTGGCTACACTCTCTGGCTCCAGTGGCGCACCTGGTCCTCATTCCACTAATCAAGCTCCTGCAGTATTTCAACCCCAGTCCTCCTCACATTCTTTGTCAGATTGTCAGCTAACCATGTGGTACATGCATCAAGGCCAACTGTCTACTCCAGTAAGATCCTTGTAATTTCTGTGTCTCCCTGGATTAACCTGTTTTCCTCTGTGCCTAGGATCACGCTACCTCCTTGAACTCTGCTGAACGCCACACGCTCTGCTCACATCTTGCCTGGACAAACTCCCCTCCTGTGTGTTCTCCATCCTGCCATGTTGGAACCTACCACCGTCTTCGGTTGCACTTTTCAATAAAACCCTTTGTACCCCTTCGAACTGTTCCGAGTCTGCCTTTGAGTCCTTAAGTCCTTAATTCTATAGTGAAATACTGATTTATAAGAAGAAATCAGTCATATTCAAAGAAAAAGTTCATGTTTTACATTATGCTCCGTGTTGTTAGTGTTTTGTAGGTCAGTGTGTTATGAGTAAAAATCGAGTACCGTCATGTTTGCAGAACTTTGGTATCGACTTGGTACCGAAGTATTGGTTCCCCTGACATCCCTAGTCCCCCATTCCACAAGCAGCATTGCACCAATCACTGTAGAGTTTTCTGTGATGAGTGTTTTCTCACATCACTTTGATGAGTTAAAAGCTGTTTTCAGTGTGTCAAATTTTCAAAAAATCTGTTTCAATGTTTTAAAAGCTTTGACATTATTGCCATGGGTTCAAATAAACGAGTTATGGCCGAACTTGGCATCCCATCACTTCCCCATATGAATTTTGATACCAAATTAAGGACAATAATTAATACTGACAACATAAAAACTGTGAAAAGTACATTTAACTGACGCTTTATCCAAAGCACTTACAATTACTATACATGTCAGAGGTTGCATGCCTCTGGAGCAAATAGGGATTAAGTGTCTTGCTCAGTGCGGAATTGAACCTGGGTCTCTCACACACAAGGAATGTGTCTATCCATTGCCCCATCACCACCCCAAATAAAAAACAAAATGAAACTGTGACTGGGTTTGCTTTCTGACAGCTGTGCTGCTGCAGAGAAAAGCAACA